TCTCTAACCGTGTTCACATAAATGTAACATCAGAGGCAGATCTCTGTCAAGCCTTATATCAGTGGTCTCCTACCTTTCTCAGGTGGCACCCACTTGTGTAAATGGCAAGACACCCCACTTCCCCCCCCCCCCCCCCACCCCCCAAATAATTACAAAATGTGATTAAAAAGAGGACAAAAGAAAAATCCCAGATAAGAACCACACACATAATTGAAAGTGTCAAATAACAAAAGAAACAATCACCACCAACTGGTAATTTAGTGTACAGATATCAGTGTGATGGTTGACACTGTTTTGAAGATATCTGCTTTTTTTGGGTCTTGTGTTGGACAAGGCACAAAGGAGGTCACTCTCCATATCAAGCTGGTAGTGCTGTTTTGTTTTCATCATGACTGTTAAATCCTGATTACTGCAAGTACACATTAACTCAGTTTGAAAATGACTTGATTTAAACCCCCCCCCCCCCCCCCCCCCCCACCGATACTTCCACACGCCCCCTCCCCCAATACCTTCTCATGCACCCCTCTCCCATACTTCCTCATGCCGCCCCCCAATACTTCCTCATGCACCCCTCCCCCCATATTTCCTCATGCACCCCTTCCCCATACTTCCTCATTCCCTTCCCCACCCCAGGCTGGAGACCACTGACAGATAGTCATCACATTGCCACTGACAAGGAAGTAAAATGTGCAGTCAGAAATACAGAGAATGACAGAGGGGCAGGTTTAAAAGATCTGGTTTATGAAAAGCTTTTAACTAGGAAGGAAAAAGGTCTACTTTTTATCTCCACGTGATGTTAGTTTAAATTAGCAGCGACTTGTCTCAGAAATAAATAATTGATTTTTTCTTCATGACTTGAGCTAATGAAGCAAATGGGGAAACAACTGTGGGGGTTGTGGGGGGTAAAGGTAAAGGGGAATGATATACAAAATACAGATTGACATGAGTAGACCTTCCTCTTCTGCCTGTTATCTCTCAGAATGTACCCTTAGCCAACCCATGCCAATCATGACTGCATTGTTGTTCTTTGATTCCCTTATTTCAAATGGTTAGGAATGCAGGCCTCTCATGTGGGAGATTCCGTTTGAATCCTTGGTAAGATCATACATTTCTTTCTGTCAGGGGCAATAATAAAATTCTAACCTGCACAGTTCTTGGCGACAGCACTAGCCATACTCCCCTAAATCCCCAGACTGAATACCCCCCCCCCCCCCACCCTTCTCCACACACACAGCAATAGTGGTAAACACAGGCAGTTATTGTCAGTTTTTGCTTTCTTTTACTGACCCAGGTTTATACAGATGTTGTTTAAAGTAGAATAGATTACATTTTATGGAAACAACAGTAGTAAAATACAGTGTTCTAAAGTGACAAGGAATAAAAAGAGAGTTGCTGAAAGAAAAAAAAAGACAAGTGGAATATTTTTCCCACATTAACTCTTTGAGTCCCAGGGGGTTTAGCATCACAGGCACAGGGGGTAGTAAAGAGAGTAATAAAATCATGCGTTCATTGGGCTTCTAGGTAGGAACCTATGATGCGTTCCTTGGGACTCAAAGAGTTAAAAGACATAACAATCTAAAAAAAACAACCTTACTGAAGGGGAAAGTTCAGTGCAAGTGAGCAAGAGGTAAACAGCGATACATTTGTGAGGATAATATCAAGAGATGGATGGACAGCAGTTTCAGAGGGTATACAACCAGGATGAGAACAGAATGTTAAAGATTCATTTGCAGACACATTTCATTGGGAAGACAGAACCTGATTGATTGATTTTAAAGGTTAGCACAGCTAACATATGGGCAACAGTAAGAACTAGGATAAAGTAATAGTCCAAGAGCAGAAACTGCTCTAGGAGTGTTAATTCCTAGGTCTACATATATTTTAGGTAGTATTGTGGCAAAATATTTCTTCACTAATTATTTCCTAGACAGTTCAGACAATTATTCAGTACCTTTATGAGCTGAATGATTTAGCAAATAAAGCATCAAAAGTTGGAAAACAAATAAATTACAAAAAGAAAAATATATTGAAGACACCAATAACAGATCAAGCAGATATAACGCTAGAGACAAAAAGAATGAGAGTAATAGATCAATTTACTTATTTAGATGAAACTAATAAAAAAAATACAAAGAAATAAATTATGAACTGCATTGGCAAGACATCATCAGCTTTTGAAAGCTTGAACAAAATATGGAATTCTAAATTGTGTAATTTGTAAACCAAGTTGCATATTTTCAGTTGTAATGTTACTTCTGTTAACATTTGCCAGTGAAAGTTGGAGAATCACTAAAGTCATTGAACCCAAGTCGAATGCGAAAACAAATGGCCTGGGAAAACATTGAACATAAAATGCAATGAATTCAAGAGGGGTGTGGGCAACTACTGGTGTTACATTGGACACATCGTGAGTAGAAAAAGAGCAGAGAATCACCAAACAAGCTCTAAAATAGGAAATATAGGAATTAAGGAGGTGAGGATGTCCAAAAGAAGCCCTACAATGAACATTGAGGAGAGAGACCAAAGGTCCTGGACTGGATTCCATCCATGATATCCAAGGGATTGCACAGGATAGAACAGAATAGACTGAACCATGTGTGACTTTTACTGGCACAACAGGACAATGATATATGGGGCTCTAGTGATCCCAGACTTATACTGGCACAACAGGACAATGATATATGAGCTCTGGTGATCCCAGAGTTAAACTGGCACAACAGGACAAAGATTATATAAGAGCTCAGGTGATCCCAGACTTATACTGGCACAACAGGACAATGATATATAAGCTCTGGTGATCAGAGACTTATACTGGCACAACAGGACAATGATATATGGGCTCTAGTGATCCCAGACTTATACTGGCACAACAGGACAATGATATATGGGCTCAGGTGATCCCAGACTTATACTGGCACAACAGGACAATGATATATGGGCTCTGGTGATCCCAGAGTTATACTGGCACAACAGGACAATGATATATGAGCTCAGGTGATTCCAGACTTATACTGGCACAACAGGACAATGATATATGGGCTCTGGTGATCCCAGAGTTATACTGGCACAACAGGACAATGATATATGGGCTCTAGTGATCCCAGACTTATACTGGCACAACAGGACAATGATATATGGGCTCAGGTGATCCCAGACTTATACTGGCACAACAGGACAATGATATATGGGCTCTGGTGATCCCAGAGTTATACTGGCACAACAGGACAATGATATATGAGCTCAGGTGATTCCAGACTTATACTGGCACAACAGGACAATGATATATGGGCTCTGGTGATCCCAGAGTTATACTGGCACAACAGGACAATGATATATGGGCACTGGTGATCCCAGACTTATACTGGCACAACAGGACAATGATATATGTGCTCAGCTGATCCCAGACTTATACTGGCACAACAGGACAATGATATATGGGCTCTGGTGATCCCAGACTTATACTGGCACAACAGGACAATGATATATGAGCTCTGGTGATCCCAGAGTTAAACTGGCACAACAGGACAAAGATTATATAAGAGCTCAGGTGATCCCAGACTTATACTGGCACAACAGGACAATGATATATAAGCTCTGGTGATCAGAGACTTATACTGGCACAACAGGACAATGATATATGGGCTCTAGTGATCCCAGACTTATACTGGCACAACAGGACAATGATATATGAGCTCTGGTGATCCCAGACTTATACTGGCACAACAGGACAATGATATATGGGCTCAGGTGATCCCAGACTTATACTGGCACAACAGGACAATGATATATGGGCTCTGGTGATCCCAGAGTTATACTGGCACAACAGGACAATGATATATGGGCTCTGGTGATCCCAGAGTTATACTGGCACAACAGGACAATGATATATGAGCTCAGGTGATTCCAGACTTATACTGGCACAACAGGACAATGATATATGGGCTCTGGTGATCCCAGAGTTATACTGGCACAACAGGACAATGATATATGGGCACTGGTGATCCCAGACTTATACTGGCACAACAGGACAATGATATATGTGCTCAGCTGATCCCAGACTTATACTGGCACAACAGGACAATGATATATGGGCTCTGGTGATCTCAGACTTATACTGGCACAACAGGACAATGATATATGGGCACTGGTGATCCCAGACTTATACTGGCACAACAGGACAATGATATATATGATATATATATAGACCCACTGCCCTTCTATCAAGCATTCATAAAAGGTGACTAATTAGAAGTTTTTTGAAATCAGACAAGTTGGGTCGAATGGTTCCTATGAAACAGCTTGGCTGTAAACCAGAACACAAAGTGCCAACCACATTTATATAGACACATGCAGAAGAAGAAGAAATCAGTTATAAAATCAAACATTTGATGTGTTTCTTTGTGAAGAAAAAAAATATGTACGGTCGCAGGACATTTGCATTCATCGTTCACTGTTTCTTTAAACATGACAAATGAACAGAAACTTTGACTGACAAAACAAGGAAATAGAAACTATGATTGTACAAGTCAAGAGAATTGTATTCATAGCAGTATTTTCATGCTTGTAACATTGATTAGAAATCTTTAGAGACCAAAGAAGGTGAGAGATTTAATGAACGTGAAAATGTGTGTGCTTGCAAGATTGGTCATGGTAGCATAGGGATCGGTACAAGTGAGACTTCATTTACTATGGATATGTTGTACTTGAAATAAAATACAGAATGATCAGATATGAACACATTAATTAAATTAAAAACCATGTTTCTCTACTGTGCAGCATGTTAGAGATTTGCATTTGAACAGACATTGGCAGTTATGACCATCCTGTCCTCTGTCCTTTTCTTTCCATTTGTTTCTGAATAATATTTCTCAGTTGCATTTTTTCTGGCAATGCTTTGTCTGTGAGTTTAAAAAAAAATGTTTTTTCTTCATTAATAATTAATAATGTAATACCAATAGTTGTTTGATTACTAATTTACATTTTATGTTCGGTACTTTAAGCTGGAATGCAGCTTCCATTTTCTGGACATACAAGCAATTGAAAGCAAAAAGCCAAACCAGGTAATACATTCAATATCTTTTCATGTACAAGCTTGTGTTGGGAGCTTGTCTAGACTCCCAGGCTCTTTGTGCATGTGTGTCTTTGTAGCCTAATATTCATTGAATAAGTGGCAAAGAGTATGTTGTTCTTGAATGATGTGTTTGGCTGTCTGTTCTGCTATTATGGATACGGAACTCATGGGGCCAGATTCAACCTGTGGAGTTGGATGTGTTGTGTTCTGATATGGAACAGTGTCACCTGTTTCTGCATCAAAATATTGATTTTTGTCTCACTTGTTGGCCTGTCATACAGTCTTGGCATAGTCTGCTCTTAGCAGGGGAGCCTAGCATATGATACCACAACATCCAGCTTAAGAATGGAGGTGGAGGCTGTAACTGCAGCTTTCCACTGGCTAGAGAACACGACACACACACATCAGGATTGTAACTGACACAGAAAGCATGCTGAGGAAGATCAGGACAGGCATGCTTCGTGCAGAGTGGCATGCCTCGCTGTGGAGGACACGGGTGAGGAGTATTGTCTGGATTTTTTCACCGGGAGATGCAGGTGTGTTGGGAAATGAACAGGCGGACAGACTGGCTTGCTCTGCACAACCTGGTGAAATACTGATGCATGATAAGGCAGACGTGGTTAGTGCCTTGTGGGAAAGCATGTACAGTTCGGAGGAGCAGATGGATCACCAGTCTAGTGAGATTGATGCAGGGGGGAGTGACGAGAGGTTCTGGCAGATGCTCAAGGCTCAGAGGAAAGGCAAGATGGAAATTTAATCAGAATGCTACTGGCACTATTAGTATCGGAACTCTTCACTGGCTGCTGAAGATGTGGACGGGAATGTCCCGTGTGCTGTGATGTTGGTTCATGAATCAAATCAAATCATAATCTTGGCAAGGTTCCTGTTTAATGGGGTGAAAATCATTTAACTGATTTTCTAGTATTATAACTTTCGAGATCACAGTTATGTTATAATTATTTATATATAGGGTTAATTTATATTTTATAAGATGTGGAAGGATGACATGAATTTGTTTATCTGTCATGCCTGTAATCTAGATGTGCACCATACAGATGCCTGTGTATGTGTGTGTGTGCACGCATGCTTGAACACACATACATGCACACACATACATAGATATAAACAACCATTAAGTTTGGAATAAAGAACATCGAATAATTCAGACTGTGACAAGAATGTAAAATGTCAGCCCTCACATATAATAGATTATTGCTTAAGGAATTGGGGTAATCAGTTCTCCTGTTTGTCACTTTCCTTCTCAGACAATATTCTAAATATTATCTGGCTTACAGTTTATGAGACTGGTTCTCCCTCAGGAGCCATATTGGTTTGGAAAAACTCTGCAACTACTGGGGATAAAACCTGGACAACAGGGTTGTTGACTCTTTCAGTCCCATGCAAAGTGTGATTCGTAATAGACTTGTCAGAATGAATCCTAGCAATGATGTAGTGTGTTTATCCCCATTTTACTTTTGGTCACAGCATATTAAAGAAATCTGGCTTCCATAGAGGCTACTTCCGCTGGATATTTTGCCTGTTTGAATATTATGCAATTTGTTTTAACTTCTTCTTCTTTCGTTTGCTTGAAATAGATTATATCTGCACTGCTGTCTCTAGTATGAACTTCATATTTTGCAATTCATTCAGCGACCCACAAAGTTTGGCTTGCACTGTTGTTTCTCTTGGCCAAAGGTTTTGCCTTGATATGTTGTATTTGGGACAGTCTTATGCGATCATGACTTTCCATAGTCGTAATTCTTTTCCTTGGGTATTTGGTGCGAGAAACCCTGGGATTAAAAGAGCAAAGCAGGTGTACCAGCCACTGTGACACAACAACCAAAATACTTGTCATAAATTGTGAAATCCCTGGTGGGTTCCAGAGCTTCATTTTTGGGGGAAAAGTAAAAATAGTGCCACTGTGACACAACAACCAAAATACTTGTCATAAATTGTGAAATCCCTGGTGGGTTCCAGAGCTTCATTTTTGGGGGAAAAGTAAAAATAGTGCCACTGTGACACAACAACCAAAATACTTGTCATAAATTGTGAAATCCCTGGTGGGTTCCAGAGCTTCATTTTTGGGGGAAAAGTAAAAATAGTGCCACTGTGACACAACAACCAAAATACTTGTCATAAATTGTGAAATCCCTGGTGGGTTCCAGAGCCTCATTTTTGGGGGAAAAGTAAAAATAGTGCCACTGCCCCTTAATAGGCATATCATGACAGGTGACTAATTTGCTGTGTTGGGCTCAGAGGTGGAGATATCACAGTCTAGCTGTAAACCACAACACAGCATTCCAACACCCCTTTAAGTATGAATGATGAAGAAGAAATATGTTGTGAAAATGTTGAATGTTTATTATTATTGCTATATCCGATTGTTATTTTTTTGTTGCAGCTGATTTTGATTGTTGAAGGAAAGACGTATACTTTTATCTCAGTGGAGGCAAACTCTGATGATATGGATCATATAATTACACACATTGGAACAAGCCTCAAGCAGATATTTCCTTCATTTCCTTTAGAGTATGTCACAACTCTTGTTTTTGTTTAGATTGCTGGTTTCTGCATTCATCTTTGGAACTAACATTGGCTAATGTCTTTGTTTGGGTTCACCGGTTGTAAACCCAAGGGAAAAAACATGGTTGTTTGTTCATTTTTGGACTTTTGTTTTGTTCCAGGATCTGAGTTTTGCGTGTGCATCTGTTTTACAGATCTTGCTTATTTGTATACAAACTTTTGGTTCCTTGCCTATCAGGCAGATGTACTCTGACTTTGAAGGAAGCCCCCAATTAGTTGGCTCTTATGACATGCTTGTTGGGGAGGCAGTGAGTCTTTTCTTGTTTTCCTCACAAAGGGACCCCAAAATCCACACGGAGTAAAATTTGCTAATGAAGGCAAAATATTATTTTATTGAAAAATATTGTCTGCAAGAGGAGCTGCAGTAATGTAGTGGCTAGACACTCCCCTGATGGCCCAGTGGTTTTGGGCTCAAATCTTTGTTCAGGTGAATGAAAGGCAAAAAAAAAATTGGTCTCCCATGTACATCAGTTGAAAATGGTTACAAGGTAATGTCTTGTGAAGTTGAAGGGGTTGGTGTTTGTTGAACACATTGTATGATAACTTGGCATCATTTCATTGAGGGCGTATGCTCCACTGTAGGATAAAGGACAGAAGATAAGCAGGTGATCAAATCTTCCACACAAAAGAAATAACTCCTGTTATTCTAATATTGTGGGAAGGGGAAGGGGAAGGGGAAAGTTAATGTGCTTAGACCATTCTCGAAATCAGTGCAAAGAGGTCTGCTGCCTAATCACTTGCAGCTGATTTTAAACCCTATGTAATCACAAAATCAGCATAATTATATCTCCTTATGTATGGGGTTGCTCATATGTTAATAATACTTATATAAAGGGCCTGATTGATACTTCGGAAATGCTTCTGAATCATGAGCACAGAAAAAAAGAGACTATAATTGAACTCAAGGCCACAGAGATGGGGTTTCTATGGAATGCTAAGAGTTTCTTGAAGACCAATCAGATACAGCAAGAAGCCAACTCACCAATTATTGATTAGCTATATTAAAAGAAGACAATCATAATTTTGTAGCTAAATTATAAGACACAAGAGATTAGAAAGGTTGTGACAACCAAGAAGATTGAAGGCATTGAGAGACAGAGGTTAAAAGAAGGAGAAGGTGTTGTTAGGTTTAGTAGAATTAACAGAAGCCTTATCAGTGGTTGAACTTATCAAGAAATTGAAAGATTTATAGTTTTGGAATAAGATTTTCTGTGCCTCTGGACATGAGACATGATGATTAATGTATGTAAATATCCTTGAAGAAAGACACTTCAGAGTCAGCCTAAGAACTAATGTGGAAATTGAAAGGAGGATTCAAGCTTTCAAATGTAAACCCTTCAAACGCATTTTACGAATTAGTTATTTGGAAGACAAAACTAATAAATATGTCAGAGATAAAATATACAAATTTGCAAGGACATTAGGAGCCTTTCTTGGCAGTAGTGAAATGTCGCAAGCTAGCTTGGTTTGGGCATTGGTGAGACAGGATTCGACTGGAAAGACTGTACTTCAGGGAACATTGAGGGGTAGTCGAAGAAGAGGAGGGCAAAGAAGGATCTGGAATGACAACATCAAGAAATGGACAGGACTAAGTTATCATACACTTTTTCATCAAGCAGAAGATAGAGAAGGATAGCAGGTTTTATGTGCTAGTACTTCCATCAGTACACCTCCACGACCCTAATGGGTGAAGGGTTTTGTTATGTTAAGATCTAATGGTGTTATTTCTTTAAGCAGAACAGGGCTACTTCTTAGAAAATGTTAATCTGTACTCTTGGTGAGATTAATAATCATGAGGAGCAAGTCTAAATAGAACAGTTTGTGTTTGCAGGCGCCTGATTGTAAAAATTGATGTCCAACCTGGGGAGAGACTAAAAACTATGACTGACATGATAAAAAGTGCTGAAACAAAAGAGCTGGCTCCTTGTGGTGGGTTTACCATGATGTACCAGTGCATGTGTGATTATTACAGCCTTCCATTCAGAGACGAAGTGGCATGGGTAGGTACTGGCAGTATCTTTATCTTTTGTTGTTCTCGGAATAGCATGGTAAGTGTTTTTTATTCCATGCCATCTGTGTCTACAAAACGAGAACGAATCTAAAGCTGAAGTTTTTAATGATTGATTACTAGCTTTTTTGTGCAAAATTATCAACATTTAAGCGACAGTAAAGTAGAGGTCCCTTTTTCCACGCCTTTAGGCGTATCGGGAATATAGATCTATACCTATATCTTTATAGACCAATCAGCACTTGGTGGGTGATGTGGTTAGCATCATGCCGGCCGCCTTAACTTTCCATGACTGCATCTGGTACCCACTCAAGGCTGTGTTGACCTGGGGAAAAAAAAGTCAGGCTCCTTCAGGACGTGAACCCACGACCTTCCTATCCGCAGCCTAAGCAACAGTAATAATAATAATAAAAATAATAATAATAAAAATAATAATACTAATAATAATAATACAGTAGAACTGTAACAGAACATGAAGACAAAAGTCTTACCTTGAACAGCAGGGAAACAAAAGAAGCAGTGGTAATTGCAAAGAAACAATTTCTGTTGGAACGCAACATCAGAGTCAGACTAGTTTGAAGCAGATCAGTGTGGTAAGAATCTACATACATGGATAACAAGACAGAAGGTGTATTAGAAAAGATAAATGTAGAAAAGCCCAAGCATAAGCAGCATTTCACATGATGAAGAATATTCCATGCTGTATATCCTTGTCCACTTGCTTTCTGGCCCAAAGACCTAGGGTTCAAATCTACATAGTTTGTTTGTTCTCAGAATTGACCTTGGCTGTCAGGTCAAGCCAGCCTATAATGGGTACGGGGTCATGTCTTGGTTTGTAAAAATATAAGTCTGGCACCAAATACCACATGGTTCAAAAGCATGGAAAGCATCCTTTATTTTACTTTACCATTGTACTGAAACATCAGTATAACGCAGTTTATTTATACTTATAACATTGGGACACATGCTTGTTCTAACAGGATGTGGACACCATATACCATTCCCATGATTCCAGAGAACTACGTCTACAAGATTTTGATCACTTAAGTGGAAAGTAAGTTATAACATTGTCTGTAATCTTTTCATAAATGCGGTACAATTATTAAATATATTTCAGTCGCCAGTTAGTTAGGTGCCATCTCCACAAAGAAGGTTGGCTGCAATAGATCTTCAGCACCCTGTGTCATATATAGATGGTTCAAGTTCAATCTCTCAGACTGCTATTTGTCCATTGTTTGATGTTGTCCTTCCAGTTGTATCCTGTCTGTACAAACTGACAGCCTGTTAAATCTTTGGTCTGTTCATGACCCCTCCTAGTGTTTTTCCGATGAGATGGCCATAGGTCATTGTGAAGGCCACAGGCTTCTATGAGAAGGCTGCATGCTTCTATGAGAAGGCTACATGCTTTGGTTTCAGTGCAAATCACAGATAAAATTAAATTACTGTTAGCATTTATCCACCAGAAATCATTACATAATAAGTTTTTGTAAAATATCAGTAAAAAAGTAGAAGACCCTTTTCAGGCCTTTGGTGGGCCTGGCACATAATGCTAGATTTGTATTTTTATAGACAAAAAGGGCTGACAAGTTTAGAGTTGAGTTGAGTCAAAAATTGACATCACAGCACTCGGGGCATTTCCATGGGTGTTTTGTCCTCATCTTCAGCAGCCAGCGCAGAGTTCCAAAACTGATGGTACCGGTCACAATCTGAAGATAAGTCTTCTCCTGAAAACAAGTTTAATCAGTATATAATCAAAGTAGACATTTCTAATATTTAAGCTCGTAAAAAAAAGTTTTAAGCTGTGTGGTTCAGGTAATTGTCATCTGTAGCTTAGGTTTGCGAACACACTTCGTAATGCTGGGGTGTTGGGTTCAGTTACTGCTGCATGTAATTTGGCAGCAAACCACCTTGCACTAGTTTTGATGGTGGTATCGAGGGCTGACTGTTCGGTAGCAGTAGCAAACTACTGAACGTTAATTTGCCTAGAAAAACTGCAACAGTGAAAAAAAATTCTTTCTAGCGTTGGTTCCAGTGTTCTGTAAGGGACATGCAACCAAAATTAATTTTTTTTAAATGAGGCAATCACAGTTCCAACTTCATAGCAAATGAGTCACAAAAAAGTTGCTATGTGCATTTGCCTACTAAAACCATACCATACAGAATGTCCATCACTGACCCTTGTAAAAAAAAAAAAACTACACAGTCTGCAGTCTCAGCAAATCCGGCAGCATACACACAAAATAAATGCATGAGGCAGCCATCAGAGGTGTTAACACAAACAGTCTGACACTAGAGATGCAGTTCATGGTCCTTGGAATCAGCAATTACATAAGATCAGTAGCTGCACAAAATGGTCCACATATTTAATTTTTAAAATTAGTAACCATGGAAATGAGATGTCTGAGAAGGGCTGTAGGTGTGACCATAAGAGATAAGATCAGGAATGAGATCATAAGAGAAAAAGTCGGCACAGAACCAATTCTAAATTACATACAAAGACAGCAAGTGAAATGGTTTGCCCAATTAGAGAGAGAATGCCTTGTGACGCCATACCATTCAAAGCAAACATGGAAAGAGAAGAAGGACGTAGAGCAAGAGGTAGACCTAGAACAACATGGAAGGATAATATCAGAGAAACTCTACAACAGCACGATTTGCCTATGGTCGAGGCAGCCAGAAGAGCTAGGAACAGAACCTTATATCTCCCTCGACACCCACAGCGGTAAAAGAGGAAATGAAGAAGAAGAAAAAGAAGAAGTAGCTGCACACACAATTAATCATATAAGGCACCACCTGAAAACTGGCCGCTCACCATTTTCTGAATCTGCAACCATGTTGAGCACAGTTGAAAAGCATTTCAAATTAAATCCGCACCTCACAGTGTCGCTCCATGCACTCATCTCAGTAGATGGGCAATGGAACTGTATCATTTCAGTCTACCTATGGAGGAAAATGCAACAGCGAACTATTTCAGAAGCAGAAACTTACCACAACTAAAATAATAAACAAGAGTCAAAACAGTGTGTATAATAATGGCACAAAAAGTAGAGATGCACGAATGTTGTAGCAGATTGTAACAGATTTTAACAAACATCTTGTTTCATTTGTTCATTAAAAATTTCTGCATGTTTTTCTTTAACAGGGAACTGGTGCCAATTATTGGAGCTCTAGAACACAATGCCTGGTTCAAGCGTCTGAATGCCAGCAATGTCAAACTGGTATTTATTTTCATTTACTGTGAGACAGGGGTTCATTTTTTTAATTTGTAAAAATTACAATTCCTGTTTATAATTAACCTTTTTTTTTCATGTATGCGGTATGTTCATGCATTTTATTATTTTATTAGTAGAATGGTTCATTGATTGAATGAACAAATAAATTAACAAACATTATTTTCAACAGGTTAAGAACAGGACGCATATTCATTGATAATGATCCCCGTGTGGGTTCTGGGGTCCCATTATGGGGAAACCTAAAATAGACACTGGACTTACTTCGAAGTTGGAGTGCATCTGCCAGAGCGGCAGGGAACAAACAGCTGCCCTCAAATAAGCCAGTAAAACGGATATACATGCAAAACTCAGGTCCTGGCACAAAGCCAAAGTCCAAATGGACGAATAGCCAGGACTTTCTGCCAGAGCTTAAAGCCTTTAAACAAAGAATTAGAACTGATAATAAATTACCAGAAAATACACTTGTGGTAGCTATGTAGAGTTGACTATTGTACTATGCTTTCCATCCTCCCTTTGGGCCACTTTTGTTTTTCCCTATTGATTTGCATTATGTGGACCATTTTGTTATTATTTGACATAGTCAAAGCATTCCCTATAATGTTAGGTGTGCTAGATCTGTTATTTGACTGGGTGGTCTAGTATTGGGTTCTTGTTAATTTTGTAGTCTTTTCTCAGTGCTTTGGAAAAACAAAATGTTTATGAAGTAGTTTTTGTTTCTTCTTCTTCTGCATTTGCCCTTACAGTAGTGGTGGCACATTATGTTGTGGTTTACAGCTAGGCAGTGATATCTGCACCTTTTGAACCAACAAATCCTATTTCAGTAAACTCCTAATTTGTTGCCCCTTATTATGAGTGTTAGTGAGGCATTGGTCTATTCTTTTTATTTATTTTTTTCTCCAAAATGAATCCCTGAAATCCACATGGTGAAAGTTTGCATTTAAGACAGAAAATAAAACATTTATAAACTGTACATTCTTCATCAAAGTTGAGAGGGAATTAGGTGGAATAATCACCTTTTTTGTGGTTTATGAAACAGCCAGGAAGGCACATTTCTGCAGCTAGAAGTGCATATTTTTCCTGTGTATTTTGTCAATAGTTGGCATCTTTGGCTTTAGGCATTGCAAATGCATGTCATAAGACCTGATTGATTCCAGCTACAGGCAATTCAGCAGCAGACCACTTTGCATTGATTTGACAGAAGGGAGCGCCAACCGTTCAGAGACAGTAGAGAAGTACTGCACATAACATTGCCTAGAGAAACCACAGAACAGCCAAACAACGCTGTGGTTTGTTCTGCAACTTCTTTATAGAATACACAACTATCCGTTATTTTTTTAGCAATGATTCTGATGAAATTTTATCTATTCAATTATTTTTAAGCTCTCTAAGGACCTGTTTTATTTTACCAATTGTTTGTTACATTTATTGTTGGTGATTAGTATCTAGGATTCAAGACCATATTGCAGTCCTAAATCTTAGGTTTCAAGACCATATTGCAGTCCTAAATCTTAAGATTCAAGACCATATTGCAGTCCTAAATCTTAAGATTCAAGACCATATTGCAGTCCTAAATCTTAAGATTCAAGACCATATTGCAGTCCTAAATCTTAAGATTCAAGACCATATTGCAGTTCTAAATCTTAAGATTCAAGACCATATTGCAGTCCTAAATCTTAGGTTTCAAGACCATATTGCAGTCCTAAATCTTAGGTTTCAAGACCAAATTGCAGTTCTAAATCTTAAGATTCAAGACCATATTGCAGTCCTAAATCTTAAGATTCAAGACCATATTGCAGTCCTAAATCTTAGGATTCAAGACCATATTGCAGTCCTAAATCTTAAGATTCAAGACTATATTGCAGTTCTAAATCTTAGGATTCAAGACCATATTGCAGTTCTAAATCTTAAGATTCAAGACCATATTGCAGTCCTAAATCTTAGGTTTCAAGACCATATTGCAGTTCTAAATCTCAGGATTCAAGACCATATTGCAGTTCTAAATCTTAAGATTCAAGACCATATTGCAGTCCTAAATCTTAGGATTTAAGACCATATTGCAGTCCTAAATCTTAGGTTTCAAGACCATATTGCAGTTCTAAATCTTAGGTTTCAAGACCATATTGCAGTTCTAAATCTTAAGATTCAAGACCATATTGCAGTCCTAAATCTTAAGATTCAAGACCATATTGCAGTCCTAAATCTGAGGATTCAAGACCATTTTGCAGTCCTAAATCTTAGGATTCAAGACCATACTGCAGTTCTAAATCTTAGGTTTCAAGACCATATTGCAGTCCTAAATCTTAAGATACAAGACCATATTGCAGTCCTAAATCTTAAGATTCAAGACCATATTGCAGTCCTAAATCTTAAGATTCAAGACCATATTGCAGTCCTAAATCTTAGGTTTCAAGACCATATTGCAGTTCTAAATCTTAGGATTCAAGACCATATTGCAGTTCTAAATCTTGGGATTCAAGACCATATTGCAGTTCTAAATCTTAGGATTCAAGACCATATTGCAGTCCTAAATCTTAGGATCCAAGACCATATTGCAGTTCTAAATCTTAGGATTCAAGACCATATTGCAGTTCTAAATCTTAGGATTCAAGACCATATTGCAGTCCTAAATCTTAGGATCCAAGACCATTTTGCAGTTCTAAATCTTAGGATTCAAGACCATTTTGCAGTTCTAAATCTTAGGATTCAAGACCATATTGCAGTCCTAAATCGATTCAAGACCATATTGCAGTCCTAAATCTCAGGATTCAAGACCAAATTGCAGTCCTAAATTTTCGGATTCAAGACCATATTGCAGTCCTAAATCTTACTGCCACTAAAAAGTGGTACTTGCAAGCAGCAGAGACTGTCATGTTATTGATCCATTGATATTTTCTAAAGTTGTGTTAAAGTAGGCTTTAAAGTAGGCTAAACCATGACTTGTTTCATGTATCAGACAGGGGAAGCTTGCAATGAGATCATCAAAGTCATGAAACGGAATGCTGTCTTAGAGGAGATCAGTCTGAGCAACACTGGAATCAAAACGTAAGCATCTCGGCTCAATTTATTTTATTCATTACCTCCAAAATATGTTTCTTGTGCTTTTATTGTGTTACTCAGCAGTTTTTATGGATTTATTTGTGTAGTAAATGAATCATCAAATGACATTGGCCCCCCTCGAGTTGACGAAGTGTAAAATGGGTACATGGTAATGTCATGGGAAGTAAAAGTGATTTGCGTGAAGTTGGTAACACAACGGATAGAGTGCGGATTGACCTTTGAAAAAATAGGTCTAACACTTTTTGCCCCTTGTCTCAAAGGCATAAACAAGTCATGAAACATCTGTACCTGAAATGTTACATCAGAGTTAAGAACCTACAACACAACACCTGAAGCTTTCTTGTTAATGCTCCATTCTCATTTCAGCAGCCAGGGCAGAATAGTTAGTTAGTTAGTTAGGTTATCAACATTGCGCTCCAGACATGACCATAGGTGTTCAGATCCTCCCCTCAGCATCAACCCCAGCATCCGTTAGCTACTAGTACCAGTTCTGTGTTGATTAACCCTCTTAGCACGGACGGGCCGATTATCGGCCGGCGGATGTCTTGCCAAAAACACGGAACGGCCGATGATCGGCCCGGTCGTGTTTCGCCTCGAACCGCTAAGAAATCTCCTACTTTGAAACACTGAAAGTGATTCATTTATATTAACTGCGGTATCAGCTTTACACATGGCGACTTTCGAGTGTTTGGTATCGAAGTGAAAATTGTTGTTGAATTTTTTAGATAGTGACCTGAACCGCTAAAAGTATGTCTGACTTGTATGTTTCTGCCCCTAAACTTGATGTTGATAAAACATTTGAATCAAGTGATGACACTAATTCTGTTGATACTGATGCAGGATTTAGTGTTAGTAGTAATAGTGGGAATCAGATGGGGACGCTGTTGTGTTCAGACCACAGCCCAACCATGGCTCAGGGTATATCCACCCGAAGGTGTTGACACTCCGGCACATCCATTTCTAGTGCTGACTGATGGTGAAAAACACATGTCACCTAAAGATATTATTGCTGTTTCACATATATATACCTGTTTTTGACTATTGAATTGCTTACAACATTTGTAAAAAGGCCAAGGATCAATAAAAAGATTTCAAATAAAAAAAATTTTTGTTTTTAGTTTTATGTTTCAAGCATTGAAGTTGAAAATTCAAATTCATATTTTCTATTTTTAGATATGCAAATGAGATTAATTTGCATATACATCAATTAATTTTAACGATATTGTGAAAATGACGAACTTCAATCTATATCCTTCAAATAGATATATTATTTCATTGGGGTCAGAATAACAGAAATCTGTCAAAAAAATTAAAAAAGTAATAACCAAATTCACTGAAAAAATGCTCCGTGTTTTTGGCTAGACCTCTGAAAAACTTCCCGTGCTAAAAGGGTTAACAAGTCCTCTGATGTGCATCTCTTGTTTTGCTATGCCAATCTTAACTCCCAAATCTATCTTTCTGGCGAGTGATGTGGATTCACTGCCCCCAAAGTCCTCCACGCTTCCCATTTCTCAGAAGGCATTAATATCAGCATCATCCATAGGTTGACCATTGGTAGTAATAGTGGATCCAGCCAACCTATCTGCTTTTTCATTTCCATCGACGCCTGCATATCCCAGAATGAAAATAAAGGTGACTCCATGCACAGTGGACTTCTGTGATCACTCCAGCCACTGCCTTCGCACCAAACCTCCCTGAACCCCCCAGATCATACTCATTGAATCACTGAGTACACATTGCGGGTGGAGTTTTATGTTTCGAGCCATGAGAACGCTTGCATTACTGCCATCATCTCCATTGTCATGTTCTGCCAAGGCAGAGTTAAATACTAATGATGTATGGTGCTAAAGTTGCAGTTTTATTATATCTTCATCTTACCTTGCTTTTGTGAGTTGAGTGTCTACACATAGTTAGATACAGTATTTCACATATTATGTTTAACATAATCCGTAGGGCAGAGAACAATATCACACAGATCTGCAGTCTTACAGACATTAACCTTGGAGAAGAATGGATACATGTGCCCCAGCTGCTCAATTGCAACTTTTCCTCTGTTGTCACGCTTGCTAGGAGTTGTCAGGAGCAGAATCCAGTTGCTGTCAATGCAGAGGTCCACCCGCTTATATGTGAAAATTCATATACGGCGGATGTTCTGATCTACACAGATGGGTCCATTGTACGAGGACACAAAAGGACACTGTGTAAATGTAGGCAGAACGGTCCATGAGGCCATACAATCATAGTTCATGGTGATACCCACTTAAGGCCAAGGATAAAGTTCTTTCTCCTTCTAGAAAAACATCTTGGGCTTGTATTGTAGAGACCATGTGCATAATTTCTCTCTTGGCCTGCAGTGTTAACCCTGGAAGAAAGGTAACACCAGTATGGCACAGAGCATGCTGCAGCAGCTGCTAGATCTGAATGTCTGCCATTTCATACTTTAATTGTAAAGACGAGTGTTAAAATTAGGGCTGTACCGAATATTCGCTTCGTATTCGCTTCGAGGCCGAATGGTGGACCTAATGGGGGGGGGGGGGGGGGGGGGGGACAAGTACAGAACTTTAAGTATCTGGGCACTTGGATAACATCCGATGGAAGATGCATAACTGAAATAAGAAACATAATAACGCAAAAACTGGATTTTATAAAATGAAGAACATCTTATGCAATATAAATTTTTAATTGAAGGTTAGAAAAAGAATTCTTGCTTGCTACATACATCCAGTTTTAACATATGGCTGTAACCCCTGGACAATCGGTAGGTCGAGGACCCAGAGATGTGGTTTTACAGAACAATGCTTAAAATACCTTGGACAGCCAACAACAACAAAAAAAGCAACCAAGAGATTTTGATAGAGGCGGTAGCCCGAAGACAACTACTCACAGACATCAGAAGGAGACAGTCAACATTTTTCGGCCATGTTATAAGATGAGGGAAAATGGAATATGTGGTGACCACTGGAAAGATATGTGGAAGGAGGGATAGAGGAAGACAACGAGAGAAGATTCTTGACAGTCTTGGTGCATGGCATGGAGGTATGTCAGCACACAAACTAATACATGCTGCAGGAGATCGCAGATTGTGGCGAGATATATTCGCCTATGCCAGTCCGCAAAGCACATGATAATGATGATCCACTATTCGTATTCGGCCGAATAGTTGGTCCAGCTATTCGTATTTGGCCGAATAGTGAAAATCACTATTCGGTACAGCCCTAGTTAAAATACCAATGGAAAATTGACATGCATTTTTATCCCAACAGAGAATTTGTGCAGAAGTTTGCATTAGCCATCCTCTCCAACAGTGGTAGTCAACTGACTAGTTTGGACCTTTCCAACAATTTGTTAGAAGACAAAGGTAGGTATGTCTGACAGTGAAACAGTAACAAACCTGCTTTATAGAATCCACCATTACATAAAATTTATTGCTGTTAGATGTGTTGTTCAAGCTGTCAGTGATATTACATCTTACAGTGTTTGTTATTTTCATTGCATCTAGAATGATAACTACACATTATCTGCAAAATTCATAATTGTCTGTGCTTTTTTTACTAGTCAGGGTCTGTGGCTTAGTCATTGCAAACGTGCACTACATAATTTTGAGGTACCCTGTTTGATTCCATCTGTGGGCAGTTTGACAGCACACCGCTTTGCATTGATTTCATCAGTGGTATTGAGAGCTGACCATTTAAAAAGCAAGAACAAACTTGAATGTAAATTTGCCGAATGAAATCACAAACAGCCAACAAATTCTTTTGCAGTGTCCTGTAAAGGGGTACTTCTTCATTTAGGTCTTTGCAGAACATCACTGTCATCACAGTCTGCCTAACAGAAACTCAGTCTCTCACCAGTTTTCCAGCCTCGTGTTTTTTTCAAATTCAAGGAGTCGTATCATGTGCCTATCTTTGTGTTGGCTGGCGCCTGCTCCTCCTTCCTGGTACAATGCCTTCTCCTAATATTTGTTCTGATATGCCATGGCAATTCAAATGACCAAAATATTTCAGCTTTTGAGAAAAGATGCTGTTTAAAGGATACACAGCTAACTTTTAAAATTCTGGTTCATGCCGTTAAATGGCCAGATTTTAACATACTCTCAACTCTTTCGCGGCGTCCGTGGCTAAGGCGTTGCGAGTCCGACTCGTAAGCCAGCATACCGCGATCGAAACCCACTGCAGGCTGCGTGGATTTTTGTCATGGTATGGGACGTCGCAGGTCGACCCAGCCTAAAATGGGTACCAGGATGGGCTGTCCTGGGAAAGTAAAGACAGCCGGCGTAATGCTGACCACATTACCCACAGAGTGCTGATGGTCTGTAAAAATATGGGACGCTCTGCCCATATGCCCGATGCGCCGAAAGGCGTGAAAAGGGAACTTTACTTTCCTTTACCTTTACTTTAACTCTTTCAGTCCTAGGGGGTTTAGCACGAGAGGCCCAACGAGTAGTAAAGAGAGACATAAAATTGGCACATTTTGTGTTCCTTTGGTTTCTATGTAGAAACCTATGAACATATGATGTGTTCCGCTTGCAGGCACCACCATGTCTATCATTTCCTGTAGTACTTTCTGACTTTTTGCTATCAAGAATGTCATCAGCATAACATAAATTGTTGTGGCTGATGATGAACAGAATCAATAATTTCATATGCCTGTAATTGAAGATCTAAAGTAATGATTTCTTCTGTATGTTGTTGTCAGATTATATAACACACAAAGCTGTTGGCTTTGTTAATTTGCATTTAAAAATATTTTCCTCAGCCATCTTTCATCTCTTGGGGACCATCAAATTATTACCATGTGGTTTGACCAGCTTCGATGTCTCAAAGACAGGAATTACAACTCGTTGTTTAAACAGGGTTGGTGAGGTGTTTCTGCAAGCTCCCACTGTTTTGGCTGGTTTGAACAGTTTGAAAATTAATGACAACGGTTTCAAGGGAGATGACTTTCCAGTAAGTTTTTATTGAGTCCGTTTTCTAATAAAAAAGAATTCATTAGTTAAATTTGAGAAATTTCATAATATGAGAAAAATATTTTGTGGCATTACTCTTTATAATTTATGAGTGTGTCTTCAGCAGAGTGGTTAAGCCATTTGCTCCATAATCTGATAGCTGATCCTTCAGTTTGCAAATGCCAGTGTTTTGGAAATCCCTGTGGGTCATTGATGGAACTACCTAGTTCATGCATTATCCAACTTTTAGTGGATGGTTAGCAGCTCTGCAGGTAGAGACTCTGAGCCATATGGGGTAAAATCTTGAGCAGAGAAGTTGATCATGAACACATTTTACAACTATAATTTGTGATAAGTCTTTGCATTGCAGTCAGTGTGTTATCTCTGTATTTCTGTGTGGCTGCATTCACACTCATGACATAGCAGCATATTTGATATTGTAAATAGAATGTTTATTGTTGTGTACATAGATTTAACAATATAGGATATAAAATAAAAACAGGCGAACACTGGAAGCAGCCTGGTGTTCATGAGCATCATTACAGAATCTGTTTTGACAAATGACACCTTGGCTGCTTCAGTAAAATAGGATTGGAATACTAACACAAGACCAACATAAAATTTCACTGTTCATCTTTCAAGCTATGGTCAGTTAGTTTTGTCCAGGCAAACTATTATGTAGTTTAAGCAAAGTTCACATAACTCGCGGACCAGTGATTGTCAAAGCCAAGTTTTTCAGCACAGCTACAGAAAAGAGTTAAGAAAGTTTGTGGTTCCTATGTTTTTGAGTGCATAAACTCTTCAGATCAAAATGACGTAAATAAAAGACAATGGAATGGAGTTTGACTATTTTCAGAAAAGACCTAGGTCCCCAGGGCGATCCAGCCTTAAATGGATACCAGAAAAAATCCGGGGAGGTAAAGGCAACCAGCATGATGTTGACCACATCATTCACTGAGTGTCGACTGGTCTATAAAATATAAGTCCAGCTCTATATGCACAATACCCTTGGAGGCGTGGACAAGAGCCCTTTTACTAAGACAGAGAAGATGGTAACATTTATGGCACATCCTTGGACAAAGTGGACAAAGAATCACAATGATTGCACAGGCTAGAATGGAATGGCACCTAATAATAGGGCAGAGCATTGAACTGAATTTACCTTTGCATCTGATTCATAGACTTTGAAAAAGCTTTTGACAGCATTGATGGGGAATCTCTCTGGAAATTAATGGAGCACTATGGGATCCCACAGAAAATTATTAACTTAGTAGAAGCAACATAAAAAGACATGAAATGTCGAGGTCTTTATGAGGGAAAGCTGTCCAGAAACATTTGAAATTAGAAAAGATGGCGACAAGGGTGTCTTTTCCTCGCCTCTCCTAATTTTACTGGCAAGACTTGATTATGAAGACAGCAACTGCTAACACCAGGAATAGACTTCAGTGGATCCAGTAAACTTGGTTGGTGATCTGAACTTCACTGATGATATTTTTCTTCTGTCCCGCTCACAAAATCAGAACAAGATAAACATACTTGATGCAAGATCACAACAGCTAGGACTAAAAATCCATAAGGGAAAGACAAAGATAATGACAATAAATCAGGCTAATAGTAGTGTGGTTTCTCTTAATGGTATCCCACTCCAAGAAGTGGAGTCATTCACCTGTTTGGGCAGTAATGTAGATAAAGATGGGAGAACTGATATTAAAATACGAATACAAAAGGCAAGAGGAGCTTTCACAGCACTAGGACATTTGTGAAGGTCAAAAGAAATTAAAACTATTACTAAACTAAAAATCTTTAACTCCAGTGTCAAATCAGTACTGTTGTATGGAGCAGAAACATGGAAAATAGCTAAGATAAACTACAAACATTCATTAACTCATGCATGCGCAGTGTTGTAGTCGAACTTTAAATTTTTTTTCTCAAAAGGAATAGGAGTAGAACAGAGTGAATTAAAGGATATGATGGAATCACTAATGTAGAGCTTTGAGAGAGAGCTAAAGTTCCAGTGGACAGCATTTGGAGAGAGCTAAAGTTCCAGTGGACCAAGAGATGAAGAAAAAACGCTGGTGTTGGATAGGACACACATTGAGAAAATCTAAGAATATAATAGCAGGGGCATAGAAAAAAGGAAGTCCAAAAACACACGGCATTGGGAGCTAGAGAGTGAAGGTAAAAAGATGTGGACATAGGGAGAGCTGCATGCAATAGCAAAGTATAGAACAACTTGGCGTGAGTTGGTTGAGGCCCATACTCCATTGGGAGATAGAGGGCAGAAGAAGAAGAATTGAATGCAAGAATTAGCTGTGAGCCCTATGTGAATTATACATGGCAGAACAAGATTATGCTGTTTGAGGCTGAACTAGCTGAAGCTCCACAGAAATGGTTAATGAATTGAATGTGAATATCAGCACTGTTGAGAGAACATTTCTCTGTTGTTGAAGCTTTAGTTGTTATTCACATAATTTGTGATGCACTTGTGTTTCTTACTTTCATTCACAGATGTTGTATACTTGTTTGGCTCAACCCAATGCTATAACTTATCTTGATGTATCTTTCACTGACTGTGCTTTAGATGCTGTAAGTTAACCAACCGTTTAAAATAATTTACAAGTGTTTTGTTTTCTGTCTTTATCTGGTTACTGTTAATGTTTTTAAGCTGCTCAGACTGTATTTATAAATACATGTGAAGTGCTGTAGGAAATCTTTGTTATCAAATGGCTTGCTGACTAGTGTGGGTGGTAATGTCATTGCACAGCTGTCACTGGCAGTAGAGTGTATCAGTTGACTGGCTCTTTGTTTAACCTATTTCATTCCTTATTTATGCTGTACAGCTGTTATCTTTTATTATCTGTGTACTAAATATTTGAATGTACTGGCTTACCTTGCATCATTTCCATTGTACATTTCGGAGTAAATTGATTATTTAATGTTACATTTGTTTACTCGATATAAGCCACTGCTTTTTTATTTTATACTTTCACTTGCCACTGTGCGACTATGGCTTAGACGTTTAGAGAATGAATTTCATGATTTTTGATGCATCAGGGTTCGATTCCCACGCTGGAAAGTTTAGAAAAAAAAAACTCATTCTGATGGCTTTGATGCAGTGATACCAGTTGTACTGTGGAAGACTTTGGGGCCTCACTGTGGAAGACTGGGGCCTCACTATGTAATAATCCCATGGCTTTCATACAGCGATGCAAGTTATACTGTGGAAGAATTTGGGGCCTCAATGTGGACCACTTTGGGGCCCCACTGTGGAAGACTTTGGGGCCTCACTGTGGAAGACTTTGGGGCCTCACTGTGGAAGACTTATGGACCTCACTGTAATATTCTCAAAGACAGAAGTGGAGGCACATAATCGTTTGCAGCTAACCTCCATTATGGAGATGGCACCAAACTTTTGTTTCTGGGACCACTATGGTAATAATTTTATTTAGTTCTGATTTTGTTGTTCTGTTATATTGGCTGCACGATAAGCATGTAATACACCATTTTTTTAGGCCAACACAGAAATCCTGGGATATTTGTACAAACCTCATTATGCATCCATAGAATAATGATAATAACTTGTGGGACCCCAAACATATTAGTATAAGACCCTGTTCTGCATATGAAATCTTTCAGAGTGTGATATTACTGTTTGTTGCTAGTATAAAAATTTTCCTTATCCTGTTATCTTGGCCATCTGTTTTTTCAACTCTAGCATTTTGATAATCTCTTTGTTTCAGTTGGTCAGAGACCTATATGTGATCTGTGAGACATAAGTACAGATGTGTTTTTATTGCTGCAGCTTTGATATTAATGTTAATATAATGCTTATGGACATATAATGCCATAAATATCTAAAACAAAAATAGAACACTCCTAATATTAACCCTGTGAAGTAGTCAGTAAAAGTAGATTTTTAAATGTAGAATTAATACAGACACTGAGCCATATGGGATAGAACCCAGAGCATTTAAATTTAAGTCAGTATTTTTGCTTTTAAACACTATTTTAAACCTTATAATAATTTTATGATGAGAATACACATTTTTTAAAATAGTTATCTGCTTGCTTTATTTGTTGTCTTTATCTTCCTGTAACCATTTCACCTGGTAAATGTCTTTTAAATGACCTGATTTAAACTTTCGTTAGAAAAGAAATGCATCATTATGATTCTCTTAATAAATTTCTTCCTAAGAAACTAGAAAAAGAGAATAAGAAACTGAAAAAATTTCGAGTCTTGGTCAGTTTTCATAAAAAATCCAGGGGGTTGAAACTTATGATCACGGAGAATACAGGCAAGCCTGACAGCTGTTGTATCATCGCAACCCCCTTTTCCCTGAAAAGATGGATTTTTCGTAATTTAGAGTCATTATATTGCAAAGGTAATTTTTTTTAAAATAAAGGGAAGTAATAACTAAATACAAACAAAGCAAAGAAAGAACCGCTATCTTTCCCTTGGTGAAAGAGTTCAGCATTTATAGTGGCTATGTAGTTTGTGATTGATATTGTTGCTTCTGCATTACTTGTATTTAAAATATTAACATTAGATGTAATACACCCCCGTGTGGGTTCCCGGGCCCTATTGTGGGGAAAACAAGAATAGACCCACTGCCTCCCCAAAGGCATGTCATAAGAGTCGACTAGCTGGGGAGCTTTCTTTGAAGTCGGAGTACATCTGCCTGAGAGGCAAGGAACCAGCAGTCTGCATTCAATTGAATCAGATTTGTAAAACTGATGCACACGCAACACTCAGGTTCTGGAGCAGGAATGCAGTCCAGAAGTGGACAAACAACCAGAACTTTACGCCAGAGTGTACAGCTGGTGAACGCGAAGAAGAAGAAGATGTAATACAGTTTAAACAGATGACATGATATGAACACTGTGTCAGTGTATATGTTGCTAATAGTGACAGTAAGAGAGGATTTTGAGGTGTTACCAAAAAATATATATGTATATGTATGCGCATGCGTGAGTGCGTGTATATAAATAAATAAATAAATATATATATATATATATATATATATATATATATATATATATATATATATATATATATATATATATATATATATATATATATATATATATATATATATATATATATATATATATATATCTGTCTAAACATCTGGAAATCAAAGACACTTAGCAAACACACAAAACTCAAGATCTTCAATTCTTGTGTGATTCCAGTACTAACCTATGGATGCGAGAGCTGGAAATCAACGAAAACTCTAGACACAAAATTAGACAGTTTTGAAAATAAATGCCTTAGAAGAATACTAAATTTCAAATGGTCCGATTTCCGAACAAATACACAAATAAGGCAAGAATCCAGGCAAGAGTATGTGTCTAATTTTATACGAAAATGCCGCTGGAACTATGTCGGCCACGCCCTTAGAATGGATAAATCAAGACTTCCTTACCAAGCCCTCATTTGGACACCACAGGGGAAAAGATCTCGTGGAAGACCAAGGGAAACCCTACGTAGAACTATCATCAGGGAAGGCTCGCTCATGGGCCACTCAAACATCCAAGACCTACAACGGATTGCAACGAACTGCCATGCATGGAGAGTCATGACCTCTGCCCTATGTGCCGCACTCGACACAAGAGGAAAGACTAACTAACTAACTAATATATATATATATATATATATATATATATATATATATATATATATATATATATATATATATATATATATATATATATATATATATATAAATATATATATATATATACAGAATGAAATGCCTTGTTGATTGGTGTAGGTGATCATGCTTCTTGCTGTTTCAAACAGCTTTCTATCATCAATTCATGTGCTGATGTGTTTCCCTACCAAGGTAAAAAGTCACACAATCCTTTGTTGTCTTGCTCTCTATCTGCTTCCATACATTTGTCACACATCCGCTAGCATTGGACAACAGGTTACTTCCTAACTGTAGAGTGCCCCATTATGACTGAGTTCAATGGTTGAATGAGGTTTCTGGAACTTATATCTTTGATAGTCATCAAAATATTTTCTTTTTTAGTCACAGTGTGTTTTTCTTTTAGCCTGCAATCCTGAAGAGGAATAATAAATTTATTAAATAACTAATAAACTTGATTAAAAAAAAAACTTCAGATTTTTTTTCTTTTAAAATTAAAGAAATTAAAATTATTACTAAACTAAAAATCTTTAGATGACTGCCTCCTTGTAATAATTTGTCTTCAGGTCTTCTTCTGAGTGAAGACGTTTAAATCACTTATTGTAACTGTTCAAGGAATTTTATTTCTTTTACAGAACTACATCTCTGAGGCCACAAGAGATACTTTTCTTTGTTTGCATATTGCACAGTAAACAATTTTACATTTATGTTTTTTTATTGGAACACACAGCGTAAAAGAGATAAGATACCTTAACCTCATGGAAAAGAAATGTAGAGACAGAATGAAATAGTATGTATGGTATAAAATTGAAAAAAAAAGGGGGGGGGGGGAGGGTGGTGGGGTGCAGCAGAAGATGACAAAAGATATGGCATCTTGGTTGAGAATTTTGCATTGCAAGATAACAAGTAGAAGAAGTGTCCTGTTTGAAATGATGATATTTGCAAACTAAAGAACCAGATGTTCATATTGATTCCTCATGTTATGTTGCAACGTCATGCTTATCAAAAACTGGAGATTGTTTTTTATGTTATGTTTATTTGGTTTAAAATTATGAATTATGTGACATGATATTTTACAATTATTTTGTTGATATGCATGCTTGTAAGCATGTTTTGATTGTGTTTGTGCGTTTGATATCACCAGAGACATTTCTCTAATACTGCCTAACTCATATTTTTCTGTCTAGCTCTGTGATCCACTTCTGAGAGGTTGTCCCAACCTGGCAACATTGAAGGCTTCGCGGACTGTGTTTACGCACAAGAAGAACAAAGATGTCAATGTGCCCATGTCATGGAAGCATTTGTTCTCCTCCATGTGCTGCCTGGAGCATCTAGATTTGTCCAGCTGCAGATTGCCTGTAGAGGCCCTCAAGTAATTATTTCACTGATGTAGCCATCATGTTTTTTTTGATGTTTTTCCAGATTTGAAGGCAGCAAGAATCAGTCCTAGTAAAATTTTAATTTTAAAGATGTTTAAACTGGAGAATTCATGTCTTAAAGCTGGTTCTGTGTTCCACTTGGTGGTGAATTGATGCACAACAAACTATTGTTTAGAGTCCTTCGGGAGTGAGTAGACAGTGCAAAGGTACAAATAGATTATTATTATCTAAAGAGAATGGTGCAGCCAGGAGTGATCCGGGCATTTGGCCAAAGCTCAATACATGGGAGGGGGCAGGATGGACATACAATTGGACTGTTACTGATAACATTGGAATTCTTCTTCTTCTTCTTCTTCTTCGTGTTCACCAGCTGTAAACTCTGGCAGAAAGTTCTGGTTGTTCATCTACTTTTGGACTGCACTCCTGTTTCAGAACCTGAGTGTTGTGTGTGCATCCATTTTACAGATCTGACTCATTTGTATGCAGACTGCTGGTTTTGCTGCCTCTGAGGCAGATGCACTCCGACTTCAAAAGAAGCTGCCAACTAGTCGACTCTTATGATATGCTTTTGGGTAGGCAGTGGGTCTATTCTTGTTTTCCCTATAATAGGGCCCCGAAACCCAATCGGAATTGAAACTGATCTTGCTGCTGAAGATGGGGGTCAGAGCACTTAGGCGAATGTCCCGAGTGTTGTGATGTTGGTTTTAACTTATAACTCCTGTGTCTAATATTGTGTTCAGTCAACTCTGATCCTGCCTAACTTTGAAGCGAAAACAGTCTTCCAGTGGATTTACAACAACAACAGTAACAATACAACAGCAGAATTACAACAACTGACAGTGATAATAGCAGTTACTTTTCAGACGTCCTTCAGAAAAAATTGCAGTTTTACTTCAAGGCAAACTGCAGTATTGAAATAAAACAGATCAAATCCATTTAGTATGTGTGGCTTTTCAGTGTATTTGAATGTCTAAATAGGGTTTACACCAGAGTCTAATAAGTGTGCAGTAGTTATAGTTGTAAAGACCACATCACTTATCACCTATTGATCAGCCTAAAAATATAGAGCTAAAACTATACTCAGTATAGCACATGACAGGAAAAGTGATTTTTCTTCATCATCATCGTCATGTAGCTTGTCCTTTGCAGAACGTCGCTCCCATCACAGTCAGCCTGAAAGAAATGTTTTCTCTCGTTAGCTGTCATGCACTTTCATATTCAGGGAGCCACTTATATCCTGTGCCCATCTTCATGTTGGTCGGCCCCTGCCTCTCCTTCCTGGCACCATGCCTTCAGCTATTATTTTTCCCAATGTGCCAGGGATCTTGATGTGATGAAAATATTTCACCTTCCGAGACAAGAAATGAACACTAAATCTTGCTTTCAGGGACCTGATGTTGGGCTTGTCAAGCAATCGAAACATCAAAGGAGTTTACTTAGATCTGAGCAGTAATGAGTTTGGTGTAGCTGGTGCCAATGTCCTGGCATCCTGTATTGCTTCAGTGATGTCCATCAAAGGCCTAGACATCAGCAATAATGGTGAGTAGTTGTTAGTTCTATTATCTGACCAAACCATTTCACTACTGGGGTCTCATTTATCAGACCACAGTTTGAATCCTTGATAAAGTTAGGAGATTTTTTTCCCCTCTAAGACACACACACACAAATTCCCAGCCTGCAGTGTTTGCAGTCAGTGCACTAGCATGCAGCTCTACATCCTGTGTCTGGAACTGATTCTGACACCACGTCTGCCTTACACTAGACTAGAAAGTGAGGTAGTAAAGGCAGTTGATGAGTTTTAGTTTAGCATTTCTCTGTCTGGGTTCTCAGTTTTAATATTTAGCTTTTTCCTATTTGGGCTCCAGAGCTCATTTTTGGGGTTGGCTGGCTGGTCATTGTTGCCCTCTAGGATTGCTGTGGATAGGATTAACACCTCATGGATGAGAATCAAACAGGAGCAAATCCCAAATCCTGTTCAATTGTATAACAGTTATATTAGGATACTCCTGCGGTTATAAATTAACTTGCAATCCAGTGTGTGGGTGGGATGTTTTAACAATTCTTATGTTGGGAAGAAATTGAATTAACCCACTGTTCCTTAACAAGCATGTTTTAAAAGGTGCTGAAATAGAGTGGGTTGTGTGAAACACAGAAGTAGTATTATTTGCTTCAACTCTTTCTTTCTCACACAGTTATTTCCATTACTAGATTGTTTATCCCTCTCTCATACATTGGAGCCATGGTCATGCTGTGGCTAGCAGTCTTGTGTACTGGCCAGAAGGTCATGAGGTTGCATCCCAGGTGAGCTTGAGACATATGCAGAAGTTTGGGTTTCTAGGCACATAGGTAACATCAGATGGAAGATATATCACAAAGATTAAAATAAAAAGAACAGGCAAAAACTGCATTTTATACAATGGAGAAGATATGTTGCATTAAATCCCTGTCATAGAAAAAGAATGATTGCCTGCTGTATAAAGTCAGTTTTAATAAATGAGTGTGAATCCTGGACAGTAGTAAACAAGCCACACAATTTATAGATGCTTAGAGATGTGCTTTCACAGAAGAATGCTTAACTTTCCTTGAACAACCAAAATGAGTAATATAGATGTTTTGAAAATCTCAAGGACCCAATGATAACTTATCACAGACATCAGAAAGAAAAAATATTCATCATTTTGTGGCCATATTATGAAATGGAATGTGTTCTGAAATCTGGAAAGATTTTTGGAAAAAAGTAAAAAAGTAGAGAAAGAGAATCAAGATTTTTGACAGCTTTTTGTCATTGCAAGAACTGATGATACATGCTGCTCAAGATCGTGGCTTGTGGAGAGGCATGATTGCCAATTCCAATCAGCAAGCTGCTTGATGTCAAAGATTATGGTACTTAAAGCACCAGCTCCTTTGGCCTCTCTTAGGGTTTCTCTTGGATGTTATTGTTTCCTCCATCAATTTGTTTCCGTATTTAAATGCATGTTTGATAATTTTATGACTGCTTCTTCTAATGGTGTGTACAATATATCACCAATCTTCTCTGTCAGATAACTGTTGATACCAGCAGTTGCCCAGATATTTCTCTTATTTCCTTTCTTTTCTTGAATTCATCCTATCTGATGGTTGTCAGTTTCCCCTTACATTTGTTTTCAAATGGATTTAATATTCATTCCATGTATTTATTAGCTCTGCACAGTTCACTGGCATATGTTAAAATTAAAATAGCATTAGAATTAAAGATGTATAATTTGGTTTTAAAGCTATTTAATTTAGAGTTCCATGTTTTGTTTAGAATTTTAAAAGCTGCTGTCACGGTGCTATTCTTGTATTTTGTAACGAATATAATATTTTTGTGTTTCACTTGCCCAAACAAAATTACTGTATTTATAAATAAAGTGGTCTTTTTAATTATTTTTGTCTCCAGCATAACTTCTGCTTAATTCTCTACTCTACTGATGCCTTTGATGCATTTGTCCTTTCATATCTAATTTGTAGACCTACCATCTTTTTCTTCTTCATAAAATGGGTGCTAAATTGTATTGTTTTCTAACAATTGTATGGAGAGTATACAGGATGAGAAATTGACCAAGTCACCTGTTGCCATGAATTAGGTCAAACACTTCACACAGATTACAGCATCTGTTACAGAGCTTCCTTGATGTGTACTTACCTGCAGTGTATCGTTGGTAACACATTCCATTTTTAATTCTTATAGCAGGATTTAAGTTTTCGCTACTTTTATTTGCAGGTTTTGATATTGATCTGAAAGGCTTGCTGCCAGAAATAGCCAAGAATTCACATCTGAAACATTTGTCTATTGGACGAAACTTTGCCAACATCAAACCCAAGTACACATTATTTTGCTGTTATTATTGTTATTATTATTATTATTATTTACAATACCTAAGTTTTCTATTTTATTGCATGCAGCATCTTGATTTTCCTGTCTTATTTATGTAATCAGTATATAAATTTTTTGTGCTATCTTTGGCTGAGGGGGGTTAGTAGAATCGTTTCACAAAGTAGTGCTCCATATTTACTAGGGTTCTATTCCTACAGAAGGCTGTTTATAAAACACCATTCTTGTGGATTTCAGAGAGTGGTACTTGAGTCGCACTGTGAAAGATACTGCGGTCTCACTACATAATACTCCTATAGTCAGCTGTTAATGTTGTGGACATTAGTGCTATATCAATGTGTCTGCAGTGGATCTCCAAAATGCACTATTTTTAGCCTCAGATTTAAACAGTTTGAGATTTCAGTTTTGCCCATTTCTTTCTGTTTTCCTCCCCGTTGTATCGCTGTCTGCCTCTTGTTTTCTTGCGTTCAGTCTTTTTCTCCAGTATGATTTTTATGATTGTTGTTGTTGTTTAACAGAAAAATGCTTAAAATACCTTGGACAGCCAAAAAGAGCAACCAAGAGGTTTTGAAAGAGGCGGGAACCTGAAGACATCTTATCACAGACATCAAAAGGAGACAGTCATCATTTTTTAGCCATGTTATGAGAAGAGGGAAAAGGGAACAGGTTGTGACCACTGGAAAGATCTGTGGAAGGAGGGATAGAGGAAGACAACGAGAGAAGATTCTTGACAGTCTTGTTGCATGGCATGGACGTGTGTCAGCACACAAACTGATACATGCTGCAGGAGATCGCGGATTGTGGAGAGGCATGATCGCCCGCACCAGTCGGTGAGGCACCTGATGATGATGATGATTGATGTTGTTCAAATGTAACAAGAACATTTTCCGTCTCTCTCTTTTTTTTAAAGTTTCTATTTCCTCAAGCAACTCTGTTTTCATTTCCAATGCCTTGAGTTTAGTATTTATGACTGCTCATTATTTTGATGCCAACAATTTTTCAGGCATATGCCTGATGTGATGGATGCAGTCACACTTTTGCTGCAGGAAGAATCCTCGGTAAGTGGAGATTTTCATCTTAATGGACTGGGTAGTTTAGATGGAAGCAGTCAATACACCACGTAAGGTTTGTCTGTTTCAGAAAGTTAAGGTTAGGTTTAAACAACGAATCAACATGGTACAGGGGTAAAAAGTTAAAAAAAAAAAAGATTCCTTTTTCACACCTTTAAGCGAATTGGGCATAAGGGAAAATTTTTTCAAACCAATTAGCACTCGGTGGGTAATGTGGTCAGCATTACGCCGGCCGTATTTGCTTCCCTGTACATACATCCTGGTACCCATTTTAGGCTGGGTCGACCTGCAATGCACCATACCATGATTAAAATTTATGCAGCCAGCAGTGGGTTTTGATCGCAATACATTGGAATTACAAGTCGGACTTGTAACATCTAAGTACGGACGCCGCTATGGCACAAGGGTAGTAACTCGTGAGTGCTCCGTTCTACTTCTAACTCAAGCCTGAGTCCAAAGAATCTCAGCTCAGTGCATGAACTCCGTAGCACCGATGTTGCACTCTTATATAACCAACTGTGTAGACTATGGGCATAAAGAAAACTTGTTGATATTAGTTCATACAATATTTATGTTTCTGCACTGATACTTCTTAGTATCTGAAAACCAACCAAGTAAGTAGGTCTAGGGTGCCTATGCTGATATGCCGCTGGATCTCTCCTGGATGGATGTGCTGCTAATACTTGTAGTCCTGCATAATTTAACACCTAGGCAGAAAAAACAAACAAACAAGAACATCACATTATCATTTCATAGACCCAGAAATGTATAGGAGTTGTTTGGTACTGAAAGAGTCAAGCGTAACTTATTGCTTTGTAATACCTGATCACTGGAATGTGTAGCTGTATTTCTGACTGACCTGGCATGTGTAGCTTTGTCAATTTAAAATTATCAATATTTAGTTGTTGTAGTTTGAAGACTGGAGCTGCTGAAATGGGAATGAATACCCTTATATCTATGATGTTATGTAGTCTGTGAAGATTATCACACTGTTGTATTTAATTAATACTGTAAATCAATAAATCAGTCAGGGTGCCATCTCCACAGTGAAGTGGATCTCCAACACACTATGTCTTTCACCCTGGATGAACACTCTCTCAGACTACTGTTTGTCCATCTCTTGATGTTGTCCACCCACTTGTATTGTTGTATGCCTTTTGCTTTCTTGCCATAAACTACTCCGTCCAGTATAGTTTAAAAAAAAAAATTGTCTCACAGTATGGCCAAGCAATTTCACTTGTCTTTTTTTTTCTGCCTGCAACCAGTTTTTTTTAATTCTTCGTCTCCCTAGAACCTTTTTATGTGATTAATACTGTAAAACTTACATGTACAGCAAGTTTTAAAGTGAAAAGAAAATGTATTATGTTTAAATAAAAATCATATATATATATATATATATATATATATATATATATATATATATATATATATATATATATATATATATATATATATATATATATATATATATATACTGATTTATAAACGGCATAAGAAACAGGAAAAGTGTGTGTTGTTTGTTATATAGGAGTTCTTTTTATTCGTCTTCTCTCCCTCTTCTTTCTTTTTCATCTTCTTTTTGCTCTGCTTCTTTGGCTGCTCCTGCTGCTTTTACTTCAGTGTCTTCTTCCTCCACTTCATCCACCTCCTCCTCCTTTTTCCCTCTGATCCTTCTCTTTTTCCTCCTCCTCTTTTTCCTACCCTTCTTCCTTTTCTACTTCTGCTGCTGCTGTTTTTCACTTTAGTGTCTTTCTACTGAACTTCTTTAATCTCCTCCTCTTTCTTCTCTTCTTCCTTGTCACATATCACTCCTGTCACGTGCCTGATGTAAGGATTTCTCCTTCAGAACCAACAGCACTCAGAAATATTTATGTTGAGACGTTTGGCTCGTATTGGTCTAAGGGATTCCCCGTGGCCAATATACGCTCAACTTATTTCTGGAGTAGGGCAACTCAAGTATTGGCACTACAAAATATATCTGTATATGAATACAATATTCCTAGGCACACTTGGCTGGACACCCCCACTACTTACTAAAGAAAGCCCCCAGGTTATGATAGTTCATTATCATAACCATGTTAACACATATATTTAAGATTCATACGCACACAACTGCTAGACACTTAAAAAGGTGAAATAGAGACACCTAAGTCAGCCATGAAAATGAATGCATGTAATCAGTATACTATATACATATATAAAATAGAGAAGCAGATGCCAGATTTCTATAGCTGGATTCCAGGATACAATGTCCAGATCACCAAAATTACACAGACAGAAGGTCCTGGAGATGACACATTGTCATCATTGGGAAACATGGAAGCTGTGAGGAATATTAATACATGGCGTCAACTGTCACTTATCGTCGTTCTATCGGTGATGCTTCCCTCAGCTCCTGATGATTCAACTGTCTTTGGTGACTCTGCCTCAACTGGATCAGATGGTGGAGAGGTACCTCACCATAAAGGACGCAGCAACTGGATAGGCACACAGCAACTGGATAGGCACACAGCAACTGGATAGGCACACAGCAACTGGATAGGCACACAGCACCTTGATAGGCACACAGCAACTGGATAGGCACACAGCACCTTCTCCCACCAGTAACTCACAGCACTGTCCCTTAGCTACACACATGCTCTGGCACTGGATGATGTTTGGGTTATATTGTACCCCATCTTGAGGAGGACAGTCTTCTCAATTGGTAGTTGGGTGATAATAAGTAGGTGATGGGTTAATTGATTGATGGGTTATGGTTTATGGTTGGTTGGACTGTGATTCTTCTGCCCGCTCTTCACAAAGGTTTCATCCTGCCAAGAAATAACTCAGAATTAGTCATCACCAAGAGGATAACATCTTGACAGGAAAGACAGAATAAGTATCAGTCACCAGCCCATATCAGTCTACTCCACCTCTGCTCCCCTGTTTCATCCCTCAGAGTGCCTCTCAAGACCAGGAGACACTTGTCTCCTATCATTCATCTGTCTGTTTAGTGCAAGAGATGGAAAGTAAGATATATAGTGGAGATAGATAGACACTCTAACACATATATCAATCTCTCTCCCCCTCTCATCTGCACACCGACACCAATATTTACCGTCAGTACTTCTATTCCCCCCGACTCACAAGCCAACCTAACACATTCATTGATTATGGTCAAACACATTCCCACACTGGCCGACCAAGTCCTGACTTAAATTCTGTCCCTATTTGTATGCACAAACTTCTGTTGTTAGTTTAAATAGTACACACTTGTAAGGTTATTAGTTTTACCAGTATGTGTGGGTTATTCAGGGCATAGGCTATTTAGTCTGTACAGCGGCGGGTCTAAGTTCGAATCCGCTTCCCTAGCGATAAAGAACGGTCGAACTATGTGTGATCCCACAGCCGACACTGATCTCTCTACAGCAGTGACCACTTTAACAGACATTGTTTTAGGTACTCGTAAACTATAATTAACTTACCCAAGCATATGAAAAGTCCTAGACATTACAGATCGCCTTTTACAAATGAATTATACAGGCATCGATTGACACGTCTGAACGCTTGGAAGCCGGCAAAAAGAATGGCGAAAAATGCCTTCTTCAGGCGTTGGTAAGAAGTAGTTCCTAGTGTACAGGGGCAAGGAGTAAATCGGTTTCCACGAAACCTCAAATAACTCCTCTAATATTTATCGAATAGATGTACATTTAAAAGTTGTGTTAAGTCAAAGCAACTAGAAGATGTAGACATTATAATTTTTTCCGATAAAGGCATATATCGATATAAGGGACTATATATATCTTCCTGGACGAGTCCAAGTTTGAATGTTGTGCCGATTTACAGGTAAGTTAAGTTACCAGTCTTTAGGACTGATGTGTAATGGCTTATCATTCCACGACATTCCTCTTCCACCTCCTCTTCCTTCTACTCCTCTTCAGCTTTCTCCTTTCTTCAGTTACCTTTTCCAGAGTTGATTTAAAAAAAAAAAAAAAAAAAAACTTATCCCACTTATTATTATTTAATTTGGCCATGAAGTTATGAACAGTTAATCAAATGCTTATTTTATTATTTATTATCCAGCTGTTAAAGCTTTCCATGTACATTTATAATTGTCTTTCATTGCTTTTTTTGCTCCAAGTTTTACTGTTTGTGCTTCATCTGGTTGAGTCATTTTTCTCTCTTGATTGTTAGATGGTTTTAAAAAATTATTATGTACTCTAAATCTCAATAGGGTCTGGAGTCCTTATCACTGGCAGACTCTAAACTGAGGGCAGACACTACGTACGTCATCAATGCTCTAGGCAGCAATAATTCTCTGCAAGAAATCGACATCAGGTATTTTTGTTAACTAACTCCATAGCATGCATGTAACCATACGGCTAAATATTACCCCAGACATGATTGGGTCTTGATGGAGCAGTGATGTGCAGCAGTACAAGACTTCTAATGTTTCTTATTCTCTCTTGCTCAGGCCCACCTCACCTTTGTGGACTCTGTTCTCCCCAGTAATCTAGTGGAAAGTTGGTGTTGCAAGCCCTTCAGGAAACTGGATGAGACAACAAATGAGGTCAAGGTGAAGTCCAGCACCTTCGGCCATTGCTGAGTTGCATGTATGGTGCGACACCTTGAGCTGTGAATTTCATAGGGAATGCTTATTGTCAGTGATTACGGTGGTGTATGTTGTAAACTGCATATTCAGAAAATGGTGAATGGCTGGTTACCACAGAACCTGCTGATTTGTTGTGACTGCTGCTTCCATCAACTGTGAATAGCAATTAAGTTATAGACTTTAGGTGTCGGCAACTCTTGCAGCTGCTATATGTATTTTATGCCGTTGGATTTTGCTTGGACCGCTGTCGGTTTGACTGTTCACTTGGGACAGGGAGGGGCATTTGAAGTTGTTTTGACTGGCACAGGAAGGGAGCAGTTATGGGGGGACCTGTTTGCAATGATGTTGGAACCCTGACAGCCTGATGATCACTTCTGAATGTCTTCCCTCACTGTTCTGTCACAGAATTGTTACTTCCACTCATACTATCCCATAGTGTTATTTTGTTTAATTCTTCATATTTAAATATAAATTAGACATTCTTATATGGAGGATCAGTATTGAAAAGTAAATCACTAATAATTCTTGTTAAGATAGGTAAAGATGGGTGCCACAGTCTGAAAATCAGAATTGTCCAAAAGCAATGATAGCATAATTTACAGTGTGAAATGGCAAAAGTATAATAATTCATAAATATTCATCATCTGAAATAAGAATATATCTCATATATAAGAAATATTAATCAGAGGGGTTGAATAGGATATTGCTGCAATACAAACAGCTTTATGAATTGCTATAAAGTACAACTGCTTAGAATAGACTAATTAATAACAAGTACAAAATGAGTTTGCACGTCTGTTATAAAGATGATAAAGAATGGATGTGAAATAAAACATGCTTCAGAAAAATGATTTGAAACTTCTGTTTTAATGTTGATCAAGGAAAGACTTAAAATAACAGTTGTTAAGACAGAATGAGATGACCATTGTTTATAAAAAAAGTCATAGAAAGATTTAACCCTGAGACAGTTGGTTTTCCAACTTTCGTGGCTTTTTAATGACATGATGATTTTGGGCAGGGACCAATACACATATTTAATAGCTTTAGTAATGTTAACAAAAGAATAGTGTGTAGGCATGGTGGGTATGATTATATCTGCAGAAAATCTTTCTTTTTAGATATTATTTTTCCCCCGTGTGGGTTCTGGTGCCCTTTTATAGGCAACACAAGAATAGACCCACTGCCTACCTAAAACCATGTCGTAAGAGTCGACTAATTGGGAACTTTCTTTGAAGTTGGAGTGCATCTGCCTGAGAAGCAAGGAACTAGTAGTCTGCATACAAATGAGTCAGATCTGCAAAACGGATGCACACGCCACACTCAGGTTCTGGAACAGGACTGCAGTCCAGAAGTGGATGAACAACCAGAACTTTTTGCCAGAGTTTACAGCTGCTGAATGCAAAGAAGACAAAGAAGAAGACATCTTTTGCAGTGAAAAAATAATCGATGGGTTTCAACCCCCTGAATTGTTTGAAAACTTACCAAGACTTCAGTTTTCTTCAGCTTCTTTTTCTCTTTCTCTGATTGCTTAGGGTAGTGTTTCAGAAAATTATAACAATATGCATCATTTTATCAAAATTTAGGAGAAAGTAATTGAAAAAAAAAAAAATTCATGGAACAAAGGGGTTAAAAAAAACCAGACTGATAAAGAATGGCAAACGATGATTGCACCCAACCTTCATTGATGAAACTACCTCTTATTGACAGTGATGTGAAATTAGTTTGACCATGTCCAAACTGTGTGACATAATAACAGGTTATCAGAAAATTCCAGTGGATAAGACACTAAAGCACCCATCTATCGCTGACCTAATTCAGGGGATAAATAGAGACACATTAACCCTCGACTTCTTAAAGTCCATGTTTTGTGGCATTGGTAGTCATGTCTATCCACAACCTTCTGTCTCATGTTCTTTCAGTCAGTTCTGACACAGATGGTTTTCACTGTCGTAATGATAAACTGTCCAGTATACTTTCTCTCTGTCTCCTTCTGCATCTCCTCCCCTCTAGCTTTCCTATCGTCATGGTGTACTCCAGTTTTTTCCTTCGTATGACATGACCAAAGAATATACAGTGTCTGTTTTTGATGTGGGCAAACGTTCTTCTTATGAGAACACTCTACTACTGCAATGGAAATATAAAAGAGGAAATATTAAAGATGTTGAAAGATATAATTTCTATATAGTATTCATACATACGGATGTGAGTCATGGACTATCTCTCAGTGCTTAAGAAAGAGAATAGGGGCTTTTGAGCTGAAATGCTATAGAAAGATTCTCAGAATATCTTGGACAAAGAAGATGAGAAATATTTACATCTTAAAAGATCTGAACATCAAGGAAGAATGGCTAATAAACAGCATCCTTTCTCGAAAGCTGAAATATTTTGGTCATGTCCAGCGCCACGACGGATTGGAAAAAATTATAGCAGAAGGCATGGTACCAGGAAGGAGGGGCAGGGGCCGACCGACACAAAGATGGGCGAGTGACTCCTTGAGTGTGAAAGTGCATGAGGCGGGAGAACTGGCGAGAGACCGAGTTTCTTTTAGGCAGACTGTGATAAGAGCGACATTCTGCAAAGGACCTGCTACATGATGATGATGATAGTATTCATGAGGTCCTTATATACCAGCTGATGCCATCATTAAGACATCAAGCATAAATTTGACCATAAGGAAGCAGATTATAAAGGGCATGTTCATACCAAAATTGTGCTACCAATGCCAAACTTGGATGTTGTCGGCGGCTAGCCTGCATAAAATTAACACCTATGAAACAAGATGACCTATGAAAGCCATCAACTTAACCATCCTAAACAAAGTAAGAAATGATACTATCAGACAGTATCAGACTGTGGGAACAACATCATGCACATGCACCAAATTAATTTAGAAGTAGAAGATGAAATGGTTTGGCCATCTCGTTAGAATGCAGCCACAACTACCACCAACACATGCGCTACATACGAAAAGATCTGATGTGAAAGCAAGAAGTCGCACTAGGAGAAAATGGATTGATGACATTAGAACCTTTGCCATCAACACGGAATGACAGTGGTCATTGATATCCATCAAGCATTGGATCACAAGTTGTTCCTCCCCACAGCGCTTAACAGCAAAAGTAGAAATTATTTATGATGATAATGATTCATAGTGGTGGGATAATCAGTGCACTGACCTGCCAAGACAGTAGTCTATGTTCTTTCTGCAGCACAGGCAGGGTTTTCCCAACCAGGTGCTGGATTGTGTTATCAGTGATCTAGGGCTCACATGTCAGCCGAGCCTAAAATGGATACCATGAAACGTCCAGGGAACTAAAGACAGTCAGCTGTATGTTGACCATTGAGTGCTGATTGGTCTCTGAAAATATTGGTCATACACCATTTGCCGGCTGCATCAGTTACCTGAAGGTCTTTTACTTTACTGACAGCTCTGAGGGGCAGCCCACACATGGGCACCAGACATTTCTAAGTTGTTTCCACTTGTGTGGAAGGGAAAGGCTGTGTGAAAGGGAACTGGTCACTGTGTTTTTTAGTTGAGAATATGTGAAGACTTTACACTCTAAGGGCAGTGTCTACTGTAAGACAAAGTTTACTTTTTAATATGTGTCATGCAACATAAAAATGATATACTTTGATAGATATTTTTAAAAACAAAAACCTCAACGGTTAACTTTTATAAAGTCATCATCATCAGCAGCTTCTGCTTTTGCTGTTGAATGTCGGAACATTTTACATTCCAGCACTTGGTGGATAATACTGGCCATACAGAGTATTAAATTAGAAAATACTCATAGAATATGCTGGAAACATCTTTGTACATTTTTGTTGATAGGAAATAGCTTGAAAGAAAGAGAGTAAGAGGAAGACAATGAAAGAAATATCTGGATGGCTTGACAACATGGCATGGCACGAAAAGACCGACACAGTTCTTGATTCTTCTGATCATGTGAGATGTCAGACTGTGACCTCCTGTGCTTGTCTAAATGGCACCTGATAATAATGATGAGATCAAACACAGTAAACAAAAAATATTTAATCTGTTAGTGTTTATTAATTTACCTTTTAACCTAACATTAATGCATCTTTTGCTCTCATTTTGATGACTTTTGATGGGGTTTCAGTGGGAACCTTATTGGAGACTTGGGTGCCCGGTTGCTTTCAAAAGCCCTACTGATCAACACTAAACTCTCAACTGTGGTCTGGGACAAGAATGGAGTCTCTGCTCAAGGATTTGAAGATGTGGCTGAAGCTCTACAAAAGTAAAAATATGAGTGCATGTGTGCTTCCTAGTCATATAATCTGCTGCTAGTAGTTTCTAGTTGTATATCTGCTTGTGACTCTTTCATTCACCAAGTTAAGTACTTTGTTTAATCATGTGGTTTCCAGGACAACATTCTGGTGTAATCAAAGAAGTAGACACACTGTCCTGTAGTAAGTATATTGTAAAAGGTGACTGGTTGAAGTTTTACTGAAACTGAATGGACTTGAGGGCACACATATTGGCACCTAGCTGTAAACCACAACACAACATGCTAATTGCCTTTTTAAAAAGCAAATGCAATAGAAGGAGAAACAGCTTAGCTGCTTTTGATATGGAGTTAAAAATGAAACGGGAAGATTCAGAAATACTTTCAACAATATGAGACAGAATTTGAACATCTCTTCAGTTAAACAGCACAGAAGATGTTAATTATTATTCACATGTTATTGAAAATATGTTTTTGCT